CGTGGCCTCTTTGTAGGCCTCCCTCGGTAGCTCTCTATGCTCCCAGACCTGGCTTACTTTCCCTGCTCAAGAAAGCACAGATTATTTTCATGAGTTTCTCATTTATTTTTATATGATTTGCTTAAATTGTTCGTGCCGTGTATAATAAAACCATAGAAACATTTCTACTTTTTCTGGCTGACATGTCACAACTGAATTTGTGGGGTGACATAGCTCCGTTTTACCATCTGTAAGGGAAGTCCCTCAGTCTAATTAGTCAAGTAATTAGTGTTTTTGACCAACACTTAGGAAGGAAGTGGTGAGGTTTCCTGCTGTATATGTAAGTACATATTTTTCACATGAGAGATCAAAAGGCAGTTGACCATAAACCATTACCCTGTAAGCCACATTTCTGAAACTTTTCATAAAAGCTCTTACACGCCAACCTGGCAAGCTTACAAATGCGATTACACCTTTACCATGACTGTCTCTTAGAACGGTTTTAATATCCTGTAAACGCTGGGTTTTAATGAGTCTACGCATGTAATACTCGAAAGCTTTTGTGCTCGTCTGCTCTGTGATGAGTCTCACCCACGTGGGAGGTGATGGCAGCAGAGGGTTCAGAGCCGGGAGCTGGAGCCGGGCCGCCTGGTCTGGAGCCTGCTCTGCCCCTCGGTTGGTGTGTGACCTTCGAACCAAGCTTGGCCTCCGTCTGCTGGTCCTTCCTCTTCCACATGGGGCTCATAACGGGCTGTCCTCCTGGAGTTGCCGCCCTCAGGTCCTGTGTGAAGTGCGTGACCCTGGTCAGGGCTGCGCTCATGACAGATGATGCTCTCGTTAGTACTCTGCAGTTCTCAGGGTGGTGGGTGCACACAGAAGGAGACCCCCAGGATTCCTCATCCCTTCCTGGCTGTTGGAAGTCTGTGAGGTGCCTCCAGGCCTGGTAGGAAAATACTGGGGTCCACCAGTGGTGGGGGAGAGGGAGAGAAGCCTGAATCTGGCACCCTAGATGGGGTGATGGCTGAGTTTTCAGCCTGGTTTATGATTTACATTCAAAGAACACACCCGCATACCACCAGCCCCTACTCCCAGGCGTAGTTCTTCATTGTTCTGCCCGGAGCCCCAACCTTGATCTGACCGAGACTCTCTGCCCCATAACCTAACCAACCTATCCCCACTAGCCACCCTTCTCCTTTCCCTTAAAGCATTTGTAGTGCTAGCTCGGATATTCTAGGTGGGAACATGAAAGAGAGTGAATGACTCTCTAGGCTTTGCATCCTCCTGAATCTTCTCTTCCTCCAGAATATCACTCTGCTTCAATGCTTGAGTCCCTGCTCTGAGTCCCCTGCCTCTGATAGAAACACCCTCCCTCCCGCCTGGCCAGGAGTGCTCAAACCCTATTCCTTTTCTTGAAATCTGACACAAAGGAACAAGGGAACAAAAGCTAAGTCTTCTGTCTGGATCAGGCCAACTATTACAGCCCTAGAGGCAGGGCTCAAGGGGGACAGGTGAAGGCAGTCTAGTCCAGGGCCTTGGGGAACTTGGTCAGGGCTCTGGTGCAGAGACTTAGAGCCCAGGTTCTGGCTGAGGGCTAGAGCCCCTTGCCACACTTCCAGACAGTCTCCTTGTGAAGACTCTAAGCTAGAGTTGTACCAGAAGAGAAGGCTTTGTACAAGTCCTCATTTCTGAGTGTGTCCACAGGCTGGAGCCCTGGTTTGTTTACAGATAGTTTGGATTTGGCTAAACTGCCAGTAGTCGTACTTAACATAAAATTGTTGAAGTATTCACACATCTTTCTGTAATCCAGATTTAAGGATTCGTGTGCACACTCATTACCAACGGACAGCCACAGGTCAAGCCATGCCTTTCTTAGGCAGTAGGATGAAGCTCCATCTTTATCTTGAAAAGAGAGACCCGGGAACCAGCAGTTAGCGTAATGGCTATGTCGCTGGACTCCCACGTAGTCGACCACGGTTCGTGTCCCGGACCCGGTGGCTTAAAACTCACGCCAGGCGCTTGTGCGTGCGTGCCCAAGATCCCGAGAGGAGAATGGAGGAGAGGGGATTGCGGCGTGACCATCCCCCCTGGGGGGTGATTTCTCACTTTCTGTCTCTATGTCTCTGTCTGTCTGGCGAGCGCACGTGCCCTACAGTGAAAATCTCTAAAAAAAAAAAAAGAGAGAGAGACCCATTATCTGCCTGAATAAAACCTGCTATAAAACAGCAATCTCAAAGATGCATATAACCACGAAGAGAAACTCCCTGGGCAGTTTTTGAGGTTGACGTCTAATATATCCTTTTTCTTTAAATCTGAAAGATACATTTCGGGGCATGCAGTAATAGCATAGTTTACTGCCCTGAAAAGTATTATTTATCACAGATCAGACCAAACCAAACCTTAGCCTTGTCAGGTCCATACAGAAAAAATAATGGTACTTTACATAATGCTTTAAACTGCCTCAAAAAAATAAATTTAAAACACTGACTTGATACAGCAAACTTGAGATAAAAAGTGAATTTTGAATGACTTGAAAGACTGAATCAGTGAATAATTTTCTTCTATTTTAAGATGACAGAATCGAAGTGGATGCATTAAAGATTTTCATTTCTGGGATTTTAGAAACTAGGTTATGTTTTTGTTTTTAGGTTCTTGCTATAGGGCATGTGCGCTTTCCAGAGAGAGACAGAGAGGGAAAATGAGAATTCGTTCCCTGGGGGTGATGGCACGTCACAGCCCCTTCTCCATTCTGCTTTTGGGATTTGGAGCATGCATGCACACACGCCCGGCATGATTTTCAAGCTGCCGGGTCCAGGAGTTGAATCATGAAGTCACCTATGTGAGATCCAGCACGTAAATCACCATGCTACCTACTGGCCAATTTTTTTTTTTTTTAAGAGGTTTTTGCTACAGGGCACGTGCGCTCACCAGACAGATAGAGAGAGACAGAGAGACAGCGAGAAATCACCGCCCGGGGGCACGGCTACGCCGCAATCCCTTCTCTTCCATTCTCCTCTCGGGATCTTGGGCACACACACACATGTGCCCGGCGTGAGTTTTAAGCCACTGAGTCCAGGACGCGAACCATGATCGACTACG